GAATACCAGTCAACCACAACTGTGAACAAATTTTGGATGACTACTGGGTATGGCAAAGGAATCCTGAAGACTTGCATCTGGAATACCTGGCCAACACACCAGTTTCTGACTCTGAAGCAGATGATGAAGATCTTGCAGTCTTCAAGTCAGTCTTCTCAAAAGACACAGAAGATCAAGTGGTTTTCACTTCTGAAGCACAAGGTGTTTTGGAAGCAGCAGCTGAAGATTTCCAAACACTTCCGGAAACCTCACATGTTTCTGAAATGGTTCTAACTGAAGTTGTAGAAGAGAAGGCAACCTCACCCCCACAAGAACAGAACCAGGAAACAGCAGAAGAAGAAGAATTTCAGCCACTAATCCAATCTCAAGGTTTGGAGATTCTCACCACTCCTTGTGAGATCTCCAATCCTACTGAAATTGAGATCTCGGAGAAGTCAGCAGAAACTCCGGAACAGTCAGCTCTTCCAGAAACAATGGAGCAAGCTGTTGAAGCATAAAGGAATTCTGGAGAAACTGAAAAGGAAACTCAAATGGCAGAACTAGAGGTCTCTCAAACTCCAGTAGCCATTTTTGAAGAAGAGAATACAGCTGAAGAAAGATACTCCCTCTCTAGGGATATATCAAATTTTGCGCTTGAAGTAGAAGAAGAGTCTGAAAGAACACTGAAGGTTACTGATGAAGAAGATGTACAAGAAGATGCTGAATCTCTTCCTATGCAACTCTTCCAAAGAACACCATCATCTCATCAGGTAACCAAATTTCATTTCCATAGCTCTTCCACCCCTACTCTTCCGGATGAGATACCGGAAATCTAGACAAAGAAGGTCCAAGGGCTGATTGAATCAGCCCTAGCATCTCAACATGCCTCCTTTAGGCAAGAGATAGAGCAAATGGAAGTCAGGCACACCCGGCTGATAGAGAAATCTGAAGGAAAACACAGCGCAGATCTCAAAGAAATAAGCAAATCAGTGCAGAAGACTCTGGAGATTATCTCTCTATTGAGTGGAACTGTGAGCAACACGTTGGAAATATATGCCTCTGACAGTCAACTTCAACTCAAAGAGATCAAAAAAGTCAAAGAGCAAATAGCGAGTGTCACAGTTAGTCTCCAAAAATAGATGTCCCTTCTCCAAATGGACATCAGATCAGCCCTAGCAGTAGCTTCGGCAAATCAGGTAGTGACCAAAGACTACTTGAAGGTGATCATTGACAATCAAAAGGAAGCATACAAGCTGTTCAGACTTATTGGCGCAAACTCTGGAAACCGCAAGATGGAAGTAATTCTCCAACAACACAGTCCATCTCCAATACCACAGCTCCCTATTGCAGTCAAACAAGGAGAAGTATCTTATATTCCTTCTCATCTGAACTTGACAAATCTAATCCTTGAAGCACAGCAAAGAAATCCGGAAAACTCAGCACAGCTTCTATCCAGCTCAGGACTGGATGGAACAGAATTTGTAGGTACAGTTGTTGACCACTTCTCAAATGATGCTCAATCAGAAGAGAGACATGAAAATTTAAGGCGCATCAAAGAACTGTGTGGGAACATGAAGGGCATCAGTGAAGTTGCCGGATCTTCAAAGCGCAAGAAAAACTGAAGGTTCTTTTCATCAAAACAAGGGGAAAGTATGTGAGAACACTAATGTGTTTTGATGCAAACACCTTCTTGTTTAAACATTGCTTGATTGGTTTAAACATTGCAATATTGCTTCAACAATTTTCTTAATTATGCTTATTATGCTTGATTATGCTTATCTCAAGTATGATTCTGAGAATATTTTTTGAAGCGCATACATTCAGGGGGAATGTATTTCAGGGAGAACTTAACTAGTTTTTGGCTAACAATTGTTCTTAGCAATGAATTATTAATAAGCTCTAAGCAATGGAAGACGGATATCTCAGTTTTGGTACTAAAATTGGAAATCTCCGGTTCAGGTACTCTACAAAATCTGCCTTCTTAAACTAAGCTTCAGTCCTTAATTCATTTCCAACAAGCTCTAAAAGTACTGGTCCCTAGGATGTTTAAAATGTACAGGACTTTGGAAAAATAGTACCACCTTTCTTTTAAAAAATAATATTCATATTTGTTTTGGTACTACCTCGTCCTAAGTAGAAATTAGAACTATAGGGAATGAAAAATGATAGTTTTATTTTGGGCCTTGAGAACCCAATAGGAATAATTTCCCTTTAGTACGTAGCTTTCTGTTCTTTTTGGGCCACTCTTTTGGGCTTAGCCAAACTAAAACAATTATGATTCTCAAACCAAACGAAACTGATTTTAAAATTGGAACAGTTTCAACTCATTGGTTATTGGTAAAAGATTCCTTCCACTTTTCAACTTCTTGGAAGTTGAAACTCTTTTACTCTCACCGTTCCACCTACCAAATTAATGGAACCCGTGAACCTTCTCCTCCCTTATTTAAATCAAGATATCTCAATCCATTTCCATCACAAACAACTCTCTCAATATGAAAAGTCATCAAACTCACTGTCTAAGAAACACACCAAGAAAAATATCCTCAATGGAGAAATTTTTCTTTCTCACCCTCATAGACGGCAATGGAAGAAGCCTATTGAGAAGAAAAGACTTTCAAGGTCTATGGTGAGAATCTCGGCAGTAGAGAAGGTCTAAGGTGGAAATCTCGTATTTTTCAGTATTAGACCATACACCTTCTCTGAAACAACACTCTCTCTATCTTTCTTCTTATTTTGAGAGATGTGTTGCTTCCAAGATCTTAAATATCCACTTTGGATATTAAAGATCTATCAAACGCAACGCCAACCGCTCTGCCAAGCAGAATCTGCTGAAGCTGAAAACGGTCAATGGCGGAAGATATCACAAAATCTCAAGACAAGACTTGGTTTAGGAATTATTGTAATTTGAATTGTATTTGTTTAAGAGTTTTTGTTAACAAGCTGTATATTNCTGGGTATGGAAAAGGAACCCTGAAGACTTGCATCTGGAATACCTAGCCAATACACCAGTTTCAGACTGTGAAGCAGATGATGAAGACACTGCAGTCTTCAAGCCAGTCTTCTCAAAAGCTACAGAAGATCAAGTGGCTCTCACTTCTGAAGCAACAGCTGAGGATTTCCAAACATTTCCGGAAACCTCACCTGCCCTCGAAACAGAAACCTCACCCGCATTTCAGGAAACTTCACATGCTTCTGAAATGGTTCTGACTGAAGTTGTTCAAGAGAAGGCAACTCCTCCCTCCAAAGAACAGAACCAGGAAACAGCTGATGAAGAAGAATTTCAGCCACTGATCCAATCTCAAGTTTTGGAGATTCTCACCACTCCTTGTGCGATCTCCAATCCTACTGAAATTGAGATCCCGGAAAAGTCAGCTGAAATTCCGGAACAGTCAGCTCTTCCAGAAACAATGGAGCAAGCTGTTGAAGCACAAAGGAATTCTGGAGAAGCTGCAAAAGAAGCTCAAATGGCAGAACTAGAGGTCTCTGAAACTCAAGTAGCCATTCTTGAAGAAGAGAATACAGCTGAAGAAAGGGACTCCCTCTCTAGGGATATATCAAACTTTGCGCTTGAAACAGAAGGAGAATCTGAAAGAACACTGAAGGTTACTGATGAAGAAGATGTCCAAGAAGATGCTGAATCTCTTTCTATGCAACTCTTCCAAAAAACACCATCATCTCATCAGGTAACCAACTTTCATTTCCATAGCTCTTCCACCCCTGCTCTTCCGGATGAGATACCGGAAATCTGGACAAAGAAGGTCCAAGGGCTGATTGGATCAGCCCTAGCATCTCAACATGCCTCCTTTAGGCAAGAGATAGAACAAATGGAAGTCAGGCACACCCAGCTAATAGAGAAATCTGAAGGAAAACACAGCGTAGATCTCAAAGAAATAAGCAAATCAGTGCAGAAGACTCTGGAGATTATCTCTCTATTGAGTGAAACTGTAAGCAACACGATGGAAATATATGCCTCTGACAGTCAACTTCATCTCAAAGAGATCAACAAAGTCAAAGAGCAAATAGCGAGTGTCACAATTAGTCTCCAAAAACAGATGTCCCTTCTCTAAATGGACATCAGATCAGCCCTAGCAGTAGCTTCTGCAAATCAGGTAGTGACCAAAGACTACTTGAAGGTGATCATTGACAATCAAAAGGAAGCATACAAGCTGTTCAGACTTATTGGTGCAAACTTTGGAAATCGCAAGATGGAAGTAATTCTCCAACAACACAGTCCATCTCCAATACCACAGCTCCCTATTGCAATCAAAGAAGGAGAAGTATCTTATATTCCTTCTCATCTGAACTTGACAAATCTAATCCTTGAAGCACAGCAAAGAAATCCGGAAAACTCAGCACAACTTCTATCCAGCTCAGGACTGGATGGAACAGAAGTTATACGTACAGTTGTTGACCACTTCTCAAATGATGCTCAATCAGAAGAAAGACGTGAAAATTTAAGACGCATCAAAGAAACTGAAGGTTCTTTACATCAAAACAGGGGGAAAGTATGTGAAAACACTAATTTGTTTTGAAGAAAACACCTTCTTGTTTAAACATTGCTTGATTGGTTTAAACATTGCTTAATTATGTTTTAATGGCGCTTATTATGCTTAATTATGCTTATCTCAAGTATAATTTTGTCTTAATTATTTTTTTCTGAAGCGCATACATTCAGGGGGAACTTAACTAGTTTTGGCTAACAATTGTTTTTGGCAATGAATTATTGATAAGCTCAAAGCAATGGAAGACGGATATCTCAGTTTTGGTACTAAAATTGGAAATCTCCGATTCAGGTACTTTACAAAATCTGCCTTCTTAAACTAAGCTTCAGTCCTTAATTCATTTCCAACCAGCTCTAAAAGTATTGGTCCCTAGGATGTTTAAAAATGTACAGGACTTTGGAAAAATAGTACCACCTTTCGTTTAAATATTCACATTTGTTTTGGTGCTACCTCGTCCTAAGTAGAAATTAGAACTATAGGGAATGAAAAATGATAGTCTTATTTTGGGCCTTGAGAACCCAATAGGAATAATTTCCCTCTAGTACGTAGCCTTCTGTTCTTTTTGGGCCACTCTTTTGGGCTTAGCCAAACTAAAACAGTTACGTTTCTCAAACCAATCGAAACTGATTTTCTAATTAAAACAGTTTCAATTCTTTGGTAACTGGTAAAAGATTCCTTTTACTTTTCAACTTCTTGGAAGTTGAAACTCCTTTACTCTCACCGTTCCAACTACCCACTTAATGGAACCCGTGAACCTCCTCCTCCCCTATTTAAATCAAGATATCTCAATCCATTTCCATCTCAAACAACTCTCTCAATATGAAAAGTCCTCAAACTCACTGTCTAAGGAACACACCAAGAAAAATATCCTCAATGGAGAAATTTTTCCTTCTCACCTTCATAGACGGCAATGGAAGAAGCCTATTGAGAAGAAAAGACTTTTAAGGTCTATGGTGAGAATCTCGGCAGTAGAGAAGGTCTATGGTGGAAATCTCGTATTTTTCAGTATTAGACCATACACCTTCTCTGGAACAACACTCTCTCTATCTTTCTTCTTATTTTGAGAGATGTGTTGCTTCCAAGATCTTAAATATCCACTTTGGATATTAAAGATCTATCAAACGCAACGCCAACCGCTCTGCCAAGCAGAATCTGCTGAANAAGGTCTATGGTGAGAATCTCGGCAGTAGAGAAGGTCTATGGTGGAAATCTCGTATTTTTCAGTATTAGACCATACACCTTCTCTGGAACAACACTCTCTCTATCTTTCTTCTTATTTTGAGAGATGTGTTGCTTCCAAGATCTTAAATATCCACTTTGGATATTAAAGATCTATCAAACGCAACGCCAACCGCTCTGCCAAGCAGAATCTGCTGAAGCTGAAAACGGTCAATGGCGGAAGAGATCAGAAAATCTCAAGACAAGACTTAGTTTAGGTATTATTGTAATTTGAATTGTATTTGTTTAAGAGTTTTTGTTAACAAGCTGTATATTATGAGGAACTAAAAGAAAGTTACAAAATTAGTTCTCAGTACAGCGACCGGAACTCTTAAACACTTGTTTGTCATCATCAAAAAGGGGGAAATTGTTGGGAAAAATATCATAGATTTTGATGATGATGTATTTAGAATGTAATAGGGACTTTAGGTCTCCCCTAATATTCAATGTAATTTTTCCTTTTAGAAATATTGTTAAAACCAAGTTCTTGAGTTTTCCAATAAGGTTGTGATATTTTTTTAAGCGTTTTGATGCCTGAAGACTTAATCAAATTCAGTGATATGGAAATTGGATATCTTGATCGGAAATGCTAGAGACAAGTAAGGATTTCTCAAGCAGATGAAAATCCTCTATTCCGGAAGACTACATAAGAACCGGATGTCTCGCTACAACCCGCTGAAGGCTAAGTCACCCAAATCGGAAGACTAGCGCGGATCTCTTTCTCACCCGGAAGTCTGAGAATGACTCCTCCGGATTTGTCAGCTAAGAACCGGATACCTCAAGGAGACCGGAATTCTCAAAAAGCGGACAAGTGAGAAAAGACTTAGAAAATTATCTAAGTCTTGAATGAAGAAATTCTACCCGTTGGTAAGGAAAAATCAATCTCTTGATTTTCAACGGCTAGATTGAAGATGATTATGCTGATTCAAGAACAAATGACTCGAAGACAAAATCTGAACCTCTAAGAAGTGAAGAACCTGTCCAGAATTCCTAAACAAGCACTAGAAGACAAACAGAGTAAAGTTCTACAGTCCAGAATACTTGAACAGCAGCTAGAAGACGGACTCTATGGAAAAAGGAATCTCTCCTTTAACAAATGGGTATGTCCAAACACCCATTCCAATGAGGAATCTTCAAATCACAATCTTCATTCAAAATTGAAGCCAGCAAATGCAACGAATAGTCTATTATGATTCAACGAATAGATTATCCAATCCAGCTATAAATAGCATCCTTGGAAGACTGGAGAAGTAAGAATGAGATATAACAATACAACGAAGCTATCTCATTCACAGTTAGCCCAAAAAGCTTGATAAAGAGAGATTTCTAAACTCCTTATCCAGAAGCAAACTTCTCCCCCTTCCAAAGAGCTATAGTGTAAACACTTGAAGGTTTCCTTGCCTCAAGCACCACACCACGTTGAAGGATATTACTTTTGATCAAACTTATTGATTAAAAGGGGGTAGGTAAACTCTCTTACAAGTTGATCTTGCAAGTCCTATTGTTCGGATCTTGCAGTTGTTGAAGAAGCTTGACCTTCGAAGGAACAACAAAGCCAGCACGAGTGCAGTAGCAACATTGGTCTTGTGAAGATATACCGTGCAAAAAATTAACACAAGTGTAATTGTTGGTTCATTATTCAACAACCAACTACATAGTGGATTTTGAGGACGTAGAAGGATTACCCCACCTTCGAACCTCGTTAAAGTTTGCGTGTCTCTCTCTCTTATCTTTATTCTTACTTGCAATTATATTCAATTATATTCAAACATTCATGATATTCTCAATATTTTATTTTAAGTCATTTGATATTCAATATCTCAACCATGCTCTTAAATTATTCTTAATCTAAGGCCAAATCATTTTATAATAAGCTCTTAGCTATTCCTAGTCTAAGGCAACATTTCTAACCAGGCCCTTAAACTATAAATAGTTTAATGCAGAACACAAGAATCGATAATCCACCCTATGAGTCATGTGGATTACGTACCAACCGAACAATGATTTGTCGGGTGGGTGATATCCGGTNCATGCTCTTAAATTATTCTTAATCTAAGGCCAAATCATTTTATAATAAGCTCTTAGCTATTCCTAGTCTAAGGCAACATTTCTAACCAGGCCCTTAAACTATAAATAGTTTAATGCAGAACACAAGAATCGATAATCCACCCTATGAGTCATGTGGATTACGTACCAACCGAACAATGATTTGTCGGGTGGGTGATATCCGGTCTGGATCCCGTACGTACGTTTTAACCCCGAATTATGAATTGGTCAAGGAGGTATATCTTAGAGTTCTTCTATATATCCTTAATAATCATCATCAACATACAAGTGGGTATATCTTAGAGTTCTTCTAGATCTCCTTAATAATATACACCGTTTTCATGATCACCATTATATTCATTTTTAATCATGATTTAATCATCAATAATCATTCTAATCATTAGGTTTATCATTCATAATTAGCCATAATAAGAATTCATCATAATGATCATTCAACATAACATTTAATAACAATTAATGGCCTAGTCTCGAGTGTTAACACCCGAACTTACTGTCATGCATCTCATAATATTTTTATTTGTTCAAAACATTATTTTTACTATAAAAATCATTATAATGATCATAAACAATTGGTATCCAAAAATATGATTCTAAGCAACATTTCCAGAAATATTTTCGGAACAGGAATTGAACTGATTGAGGAAAAATCGATTATTTAAATTTAAATAATCCATTAATCATAAAAATCGATTTTTGCTTCTAAATTAATCCATTAAATCAAATAAATCGATTATTGATTTAAAAATAATCGATTAAACAACTAAAATCGATTTTTGTTTCATAATTAATCGATTAAAATCTAATTTCTTGGTACCTCGTCTGAACACAGTTCTATTCGATTTTTAGTAAGAATATAATCGATTTTCGGCTACTGTTCATCATCTTCTACCTTCGGTCCATTTTCGGACATATCAATTTTAGTTACCAAACTTCAATTAAATTATATAGAAATGTTCTCCAAGGTTCATAGATCATTTTAGAATAATTAAAACATATTTTTAACATCAAATTCAAGGTTTATGATTCTTGGTTCTTCAAACATGTCTAACACAAAACTCAACCAAATGACCATTGATGAACGTAAAAACAACCTATATGAACATTCTAATCTTTAGATATATCTACGGGCTTACCTTGAAGCGTAGGGGAGGTTTTGAAGATTTTCTGGCGAACCTTCCGGCGACTCTATCTCACTGCTCCGGCGACCTCACACAAAGATGACACCACCACTGCACTCTACTCTCAGCAAGGAACAATATAGAAGGAAGAATGAGTTGTTTTGGTGATGAAATGAGGGAGTTGGGTTGTCCTTAAATAGCCCAGGGAAGAAGAAGAAGACACAGGTTTGCAGCTTCCGTGATTGAGAGACGAATTTGGAATCAGCGTAATTGAACAGGGTGTCGTTTGGTGTGTAGTCCCTGATTGGGACTAATTTTGGTCCCAGTTGGGGTACACTTTTTGTTCCAACTTTCTCCAAATTGAAATCCGATTGAACCGTTGGGATCAGACAGTCAAACTCTACATAATGATATGATTTTCATTATTTATTGACAAACTTTAGAATTTACTTATTTTTGGGTCCTTCTTAGTAAATAATTAATTATTAATTAATTAACTCTGATAGGCCTATTTTTGGGGCGTTACAATTCTTCAATCAAAAATCTGCCTGGTTGCTACCACTGTTTCCGAGTCCTCCGAGTCTTCTAATCGCTTCCAAGTAAGTCTTTCTTCCTCCTTTCCGAGTCATGTCTGACCGTGAGGATAGCCAAAACCCTTCCATTCATTCTTACAGTTCTGGTGACCGGTCCCCAACTTCTGGTTCCTCTTCTTCTTCGTCTTCTGATTCTGAGCACCCGGCTACTTCTCCACAGAAGAAGCCGGTTGATGCTTCTACTTGTGCCCCTTCTTCTTCCGTGGCGCAAGTGGTCTCGGTTGCTCAGCCTGGGGATGAAGATTTCATTCGGCTTGACGACCGGTTGATCCAAGAGCAACCATCGTATATGCAGAAACCCCAAATCCACGAGCTGCGTAATATGATGCCCGACGGGTACCAACTGACCTACCGGGCAACAGGGAAGAACATTATTTCTCTCCATGTCGATACATCGATTGGTATCCATTGCCATTCTATCAAGGACTTGGGTGAATTCTCTATTCACCCATTCAAAGTCCTTTTCTTTGAGACATACGGGATCATGCCCGGGCAGTTGGCCCTTAATGGTCACCGTTTGTTGGGCAGTTTCATCAATGTCTGCCGGTTCCTTCGTATCCCCCTCTCCCTTCGTCTCTTCGATCATATGTTCGATGTCCGGCCCGGGTCCAAGGAAACCTTTGGATTCGTGGTCGTGTCTTCTCACCAAGGCCGGGCATTCCTCTGTGGCCTTCCTCCTTCTAACAAGAACTTCTAACAAGAAGTGGAAGGACAAATATGTTTGTATCAAATTCCCCCCGGCTGCCTTTACTTTTGCCCAAAATGTCTGGGGGAAAAGAATGAAGCGCCAGGTCAAACCAACGGAGGCCGATGACCTGGTTGCCTGGGAAACCACTCTCCGAGCCAGGGATGCCTCCACCCGCGGTCTTTACCACGTGGGGAAGTGGAGTGTCTATCCCGGCCGGGAGACTGACCCTGAGCCGGAGATTTTCCTGCCTGGGGCAATCCCCGAAGCCATCCCCATCCGCCGGGCAATGGGATCCAAAGCCCTGGCCACTGCCACCGCCGGTCCTTCACGCCTGGGGAAGAAGAAGAAGGAGAAAGGTCAACCAACTGCCCTTCCTTACTTTCCTTTATATTTATTTATTCTCGACTCTGTTTTTCTAACTGGTTTCTTTTCCTACAGTGGTGAAGTTTCAGTCCAAATTTGCCATTCCCCAGATAGTGGTTGAGGAGCCCTCCACTGCTCAGCCACTCAACCCTCCATCCAGTCAGCCCTTCTCACTGGAAGAGAAACCGGCTCAATCCCATCATGGCACCAATCAGCCGATCCACTCAGGGGAACTCTACATTAACGTAACACCTTCGAGTTCGACACCCTGATGGGGGAGACCGGGCACACATCCCAGGCTGGGTTGGCAGGTCAACCCAATGAGGAAGGCGAAGCCGAGGAAGAGGCTGCTGGAGAGTTCCTTCAGCGGAATAGGCGGAAAACAGGGGTGGTCAATCAGCGAGCTCATCAGGCGGCACAGTCCTCCGATGCCGGCAAAGGGCCAATCGTGCCTCGGTCCCTGGCTTTAATGTCCAGGTCGGACGAGGAGCTCTTCCAAGTGTTCCGTTCTAATTTGAATGAGGTAATCCCCTTTTCTCCCCTACCGTTCTTATTGTTTTTGACATTCTTATGAAATCTTTTTCTTGTCTTTAAAGCACGTCGGTCGAATCGGGGAGTACTTCGCCCGGTTGGTGAAGTCAAAGGATGATGAGAAGGCCCGGATGGAGGCCATGATGGTCGAGTGTTGGAAGGAAGCCCAGACTGCCCGTGCCCAGGCAGAGAAGTTAGAGGCAAAATGGGTAGAGCACTGCGCGGCCTACCGCCAATTCTATGCCAAGCATGATGGACTGCTGAAGGCTGCGAAAGAGGCCGACGAGCAAGATCAAGAGAAGATCCAGCGACTCGAGGCTGATAACGCCCGGTCTGCTGAAGAAATTGCCCGGCTAGGGGATGAACTGGAGAAGGAGCGGGCGGACCTTGCCGCTGCCTGGGTAATCCAAGAACCTGAAGAGTTCGCCGCCCGTGCAATGCAGGAACGAGAGACAGCCATCCGCTTCTTCCAGGGCCTATACAAGAACCAGGTGTCGGCCGGGATCGTGGACGAAATCGGCACCTTCGGCTTTGAAAGCGGCCAGTACACTGAGCGGCGGACCCTCTATGGCATCCTTGAGCAGAGGATCCAAGGTTTTCGACCCAAGGCCCTTTCTCTGCCCGAACTGCATGACGAGGCGCCGGTCCCTCCATTCCCAGGGATCTGACCTATCCGACCTTCTTCCATATTATTATTTTTATTTTCCCATGTAATGATATGCCTCCGGGCACTTTTTGTAAAACGCTTAAATATTAATGCAAGTGGTTTTCTTCTATATTGTGTGCTGAGCGCTGAGTATTTTACTCCAAGTCTTCTAAATTCTCTTCAACTTAAGATTTTTAACTGTTTAGATTAGTAAATAACAGCCCGGCTGCATTTACCCGGTTTAAAATACAATTTCACCCAAGTCTTTTCGAAAGGTTGGATGGTCGGCCGAGTAGAGAACAAGTTTGATTAATCTCTTCCCAGTTGGTTTGCAACCCGCAATGGCACATTGACTTGTCCTTTTCGAAAGGATAAGCTTTTGCCCGGGCGCTTTGTAAGGCCGACCTGTTTTCACAATGGCTTAATGCCCTTGTGGAAAGGTAAGCCTTACGTTTTTCTTCAATACGTTTGGCTTAACTGGCCGGGATGCTCTCCCTTTAGTTTAGCCAAATCATTTGAGTTCCGTGTTAGTACGGATGAGGAGTATGATCGGTTCTACCGGTTTTTTTTTGAGATGCCCAATTCGATTGGACATCTGACCGGGCATATTGGTGTGCGACCAATTACCGGTCGATATGTGAGAACAATCTTTCTGAAAAGAACAAGTTTTTATTGATAACCGGGAACTCATTACACTTTATCTAAAAAATTTACGCAAGTGATGAGAGTTCCAATGTTGGTCAACCCGGCCACCTTCCATAGTATCTAACTGGTAAGTGCCCGGCCTGATGATTGCTTTTACGCGATAGGGCCCTTCCCAGTTACGTACCATCTTGCCCCTCTCATTAGGCTTACTAGCATCCCTCCTGCGTAAAACTTCATCATGCACTTGGAAGTACCGTGGGCCTACCAGCCATGATATCTCTTTATTGACTGCTGGTAACCAGCCATCTTGACAGCGGCTATGGTCCTTCGTTCTTCCACCAGATTCAATTCAGCTAGGTGGTCGACCTCATTCTGACCAGGCTGGTACACGGTTTCTCTAAGGGGGTGTTTGTTTTTCAGCCAGAAGACCTTCTGGCGTCTTTTGTCTGCGCCGCGCAGACGCGCGCAGATGATGGGCTCTGCAGATTGTTTGTTTTTTGGAAGACATTTCACTCAAAAAGGTCTTCCTGGCATCTTCTTGGAGAAGACATTAACCAATGTCTTCTAACATCTTCTCCTTTTTTTTCTACTTCTCTTCACCACCACAACCGTTCACCGCCACCGTCCACCACT